AAAAAAAACAACCAATCAATGTATTTTCACTTAAACAAGCAGCTGTTTTTTATGTGCATTAAAGCTATATAAAAATTTAACAGTGCAAATGCAAATTCCTTGCTGACAGTTTAACCAAAAGGCATTTCCAGCATAAAATGGCCGACATATCCTTAGCATAAAGAGGTTATACACACACTATGCAGTAATATTATGTTGAAGCACAGTATGTATCACTCCGCAAGGCTCCTGACTACGGTACTCGTAATGCTCTGACAATCCATCAAGTGATGCGGCTTCGCAGCTTAGCAAAGTCGTACTAAAACATTTTTTGACAGATTTTTGAGAGCCGTGTACCACATAAAATTGTTTCTGTAATAACTGTAATAATGATGGCCCCCTTGCATGCTCTACCAAAATGTGTATCTGATGGACGGAAGCCAAACCAGTTCTGCACCACTGAAGTTTCACCGCTTTCGCCCTTCTCATTCTGCGTCGCTGCCATGCTTTTTCTGCCATGTGCGTATGATAACAAAGGCACTGCGCATGCACGTTTTACCCATATTCTATCGCGATATTTCATTTTCTTATCATTGCCTAACATTATACAGGTATTACCATGAACGGTATGATATGGCCCAGCCCAAAGTGGAAATATTTTAAAAAAATAATCTCCTCTCTGATGCTGCCAAACATACTGATTTAGGCTGTTGCTATGGATGGACATTAACAACAGAAAATCTTGTCCAGGATTCTTGACACTATGCCCAGTTATTTACATCAACGATATAAATGACACAGACATCAGCCAAAGCAATAGCCCTAGCATAACACCGAGGCTTCCTTGATTTATGTAAGCCAAGCACCCCCTGTAATGAGCTCAACAACGCTTTGTATTCTTTCTGTTTCTATTAAGTCTGACTCTTTCTCTCTCTTCATCTCTTTCTCTTGACCGCTTGTAGAATGGCCGACTGGCTTTTTTAACTTTGTTTCAAAGAAAGTCAAGAGGGCAATTTCATGCTTCGGTAGTTCTTGTTGTGTCTGAAGAGCTTTTCACAGCGAGAGAAGGCTCACCAAGTGCCAGTATCAGCCCTTCTGCCACCTTTCCTACCCCACTTATCCCCCAGACTGCTCTGTTCTGTGGCAATGCTAATGTCTGCTGACAAGATGCTCTGCAGATAAACACAGCTTTGGTTACACAGCTGGGGAGAGAATGTCATATTTAAACAGAATGCACTGTGTTAAAAGTATTGATATACTCTTAATTATCATTGTTATAGACCAGCATCTATGAAAGCTGGTATAGAAGAGGAATTCTACTTGATATTTTCCGTTTTCACAAATTGACTTAGTCCATTTGTAACTACAGGCTACCATTATGTAAGAATAATGGTAGCCATTACTATTCCACTGATAATAGAGCTATTTGTTGGTCATCATATTTTAGAGACATCCTCACATTAATCTTATGACCTTGATGGATCATTCATTCACTCAAATAACAGGATATCCCATCAGATTATTCCCTCTGAATCCTGCATGTGACTGGATCAGATTTGCACAGGTCTGTCAAGCTGACACATTATAATCCTTAAACTCCTGTGAGATACATTTAATCTCAGTGACAGATGAAAACTGCACACACTGGAAGTATACAAGTCATAAAGACAAAAAATAATCAGATCTGGAAAGGGTCACTGACAATTTCATTTCCATCACAGTAGGTATTTGATTCGCATATTTTCCGAAAATCTGGAAATTCTCTCGTGACACTGCAGGGAGCAAAACATTTTATTCACAGGCATTAACATGTTAATTTTGAAAACTATATTTAATATATTCAAAGGACATTGGTAAAAATGTGAACTGACTTAAGGGATTAATTAAGCACAGGATGTCAAACTGGAACGAAAGTACACTTTTGTAATTACAACTGATGATACGGTCCATTGCATGCTCCGCAGAATAACATTATTAGCTATAAAAACAGTGTATTAATATAACAACTATTCAGTTTTAGTGTTTGTACTTGAGCTTGCACAGAAAAAAAAAGCAGTTGACCTGTACAGGCAAGTGCCCATGCATTATGTTTACTGAACAACTTGCTCACCTATTTATGGACAAAGTAAGCATATCAAAGATGGGCACTGAAGACATAAAAACGGCCACTCAAAAACACCGTTATCAGAGCAAAAATTAGTAACTGCTAGGTCGCAGTAATGGGGAGATGGGAGGTTAATTGGGGTCTTGTCATTGCATGCTTTTTGGTCTTGTCAGTGGTAAGCTACAGTTGAAAAGAACAAAGGCCTGGCAAACTAAATTGTAGGGGAGCAGTTGCCATGGTTACACCATTGGTACGTTACTGGTCTTGTCTCCAGGGTGTAAGTGAGGTTGGCGATTGGAGGGGGTGGGGGGGGGACAGATTTTATGTGTTAATTATAGCATTGTTAATAACAGTATGTGTCTGCAGTGAGGACTTAGAAAGCTTAGAGCGGAGACAGAACGCAAACACACACAAACACATCGCTATCCAGCATACAAACCCAAGAATACTGTAAAGATACAAATACACATATACCAATGTGCAAACACAAACATACCAATGTGCCCAGTCATACAAACCGACATTTCACACACGCACTGGAGTAAAAAACCAAAATGAAACACACTCTTCAGACTCTATATAAAGCTGCTGATCGGACTCACCACGACTGACACCACCTACAGTACTTGTACAGAAATGTGTTTCTGATGAACCTTTGTGCCAAATACTTTCTTCAACAAAGAATACAATCTCTGAAATAAATTTAGCTGTTTCACATGCGGATCCCAACCAGATAATACAACACACAGTGTTGCAGACCTCACTTCGTCTTCATGAGTATGCTTACATCCACACAGGGAGAAAAAAGGTTTTCCTATTATCGTGTTTATTACTCTCCACTGGGTGCCAGCTGTGCTCTCAGTTTTAATGATTTAACTGAGCATTTACATCACAAAGCACAGCACAACACATTTACCTATTTGTACCGACGTGCTGTTGTCAAATGCAATTCTGCCCCTTCCCTAGACAAGAATCTTTAGGGTCTCTACTTTATTAACCACATTTGTAAACAAAACAATGCATTTGTATTGATTTAGAGCACAATAACATACAGACATCACTATATGTAGTGAGAACTGGCTGTCTTCAGACAGCCTGTTTTAAAATTGTAAAACTTTAATATGCTGACCTTCCATCATTTGTTCTAAGGAACATTTTGCAGGCTGTTACGCATTTTTCTATCTACTATTAGCTCAATAGACACAGCCATCATTTATCCTGCCTGTAGAAAATGAAACCTTTCAATTAATACAAGCAGATGCCTTTAACAAAAGGTAAAATTACATTACCTGCAGTTATAGCGTGAGCTCCAGTTAGTTCACCGTTGAAGCCGTTCTCCCTGGCAGAATAGGGGGCTGTGGCCACATGGGTCCCACCAGGCTGGCAGGTCCTGTAGGCTGAGGAGGAGTAGCCATTGGCTCCATGGGTGCCACCAGGCTCCTGCCCCGCTGATGGGTCCCACTGAGGGGTACCGTCTTCTGGCTGTCGACTGTCTGCCATGCTGATGCTAGCTAGCAGCCGAAGAGGTTTAGCAAGGGTTGGGGTCTCTGCTTCTGGGATACAGACAGGAAGAGAAGGAAGAGGGAGGAGCAAAGATGAGGAATGGTCAGAACGCAGCATGTCTCTGTTATTAACTGCAATTTTAGCATGGCAGCATTAAGGAAAATGAAGAGTGTAGGGACCAGAGGAGGCTCTAGGACATGTTACATCAGTCACATTTGCAAATCTCTTTTTTGTATGTTATGATCACTGCTGCAGCTCAACTCAACAGTTTTGAAAGTGCAGCTGTGAGTTTGTGTGTAGGTGGTTATGTGAAATACTGTCCTTGGATGCTGTCTGGCATATGACAACCACTGGATGAAACCCTATTGATTTGTGTGTTTGTGTGTAATGACTCATGCAGCCAGCGGCTCAGACAGAAAACACAACTGGCTGAAAATGAACAGAGAAGACCTTGGATTTTCGGTGAGTCGTGCTGGGCTGCAGGGTTTAGAGGTGGGTTCTGATCAATCTGACAAGATTCAGCCCAACATCTAACAAATAGTTTGAATCAGCTTCACTACAACATACTGGCTTCTATTATGTGAAAATCCAATGGCAAATGTTCCAGAAACAAAAAGTATGTCATCTTTCCAATACTTTTAATGGAAGCATGATAGCTGATCAGCATCGTGTGAACATTTTAGGACTTATCTAAACGTTAAGTGCTAATACCATGTTACGTAGGGCTATGATTCAGTATTTACATGTCTTTTTCATGTTAAAATAACCAACATTGCTTTGTTATTGAATGCATTTATGTTTAAACTCCTAAATATTATGACCAGTGCCTTTTAAAATTCAATGACTAACATAGAAATATCTCATAGTGAGTGGATAACATTGATCAGATCAGGACAGAGAAGGATCAAGTAGAAGCGACAGGCTGAAACTATTGATCAGTTCTTATTATCACCTAAAGCCGGGACAGTCAGAGACAAGGAGTGAAAGTCAAGGATTTAACTACCTGGCCAGGAGAGATAAATGGGCTCAAAGTAGTACAAAATCATTACACTGAGCTGTTATTATTACTATTTTTACTTGGTATATACAGTTTTTTTATGCTCAGTTGAGGTTATTTACATCTCACAATAGTGGAACAAGTACACTGAGTTGAATCTGAGCTTGAAGGACAAAGAGAGAGGTAAACAAAGGGCTCAGTGAGAAGAAAGAAAATTGTGAAATACTCTGAAAGGGAATTGGTGATCTTTGCAGAAGGGCTGTTGATGGTAGCATTTACAGGGCAGCCTGTGCAGTTGTGCATAAGGGTGTGTGTGAAGAAGCAATTTGTCATTTAGCTCTGCGGTCCTCAGAGAGCCAGAGAGTGAAGTGAAGTCAGCTCGAGAAAACGGGAGTCAATAACTACAGCCGAAGACCAAGGTACTGCTACAGTGAGCACTAGGTACTACATTCACAGTACATTAAATACTACTACTCACTGTCAACCAAACAGGAGAACAGAATAGAGTGGAACAGAATATAATAAATGGAAAACAGAAGAGTGATTCCCATACAAAGGATGTATGAAAAGACTGAAAATACAACATGTCCATATTTTTTGTTAAGATGGATATTAAACACTAAGGCTGGGCTATATCATACCGTTCACGGTAATACCGGTGTAATTTTGGGCAACGATAGGAAAATGAAATATTGCGATAGAATATGGGTAAAACGCGCATGCGCAGTACCTATGTTTACATACGCACATGGCGGCGACGCAGAATGAGAAGAGCGAAAGAGGATCGTTAAATGAAACAGATGAACCAGAATTGGTTTGTAAAAATGCTGCAAAGTCAGTGGTGTGGAACTGGTTTAGCTTTCATCCATCAGATACACAACAAAGCACTATTTTTAGTAGCGCATGCTAGCGGGCCGTCGTTATTACCGTGTTATTTGGAAAATACGGCACACTTAAAATCAATCCTTTGATTTTTCTGAAAATTGACAGTGCCCCTTATAATCCAATGGGCCTTATGTATGAATTCTGGTTGTGTTTACTGACCTCGAAATGATTTTATGTCGTACACGGCGCTCGAAAATCTGTCAAATGTTTTAGTACGACTTTGCTAAACAACGAAGCCGCACCGCTTGATGGATTGTCGGAGCATTACGGCTATCGTAAGCAGGAGCCTCGCGGAGTGATCCGTACTGAGCTTCAACATAATATTACCATATTGTGTGTGTTTAACCTCTTTTTAAGTTTTGTGGATATTATACATGGTTATGCTGAGGATATGTCGGCCAATTTCCACTGGAAATGCCTTTTGGTTAAACTGTCAGCAAGGAATTTGCATTTGCATTGTTAAAATTTTATATAGCTTTAATGCACATAAAAAACAGCTGCTTGTTTAAGTGAAAATACATTGATGGGGTTTTTTGCACTAATGAAGTTGAGGAGTTGTAAAGTATTTTGTCTCGTGTCAATTATATCGTCAGTTATATCGTTATCGCACTTTTTCAAACGTATATCGTGATAAATATTTTTGGTCATATCGCCCTGCTCTAATAAACACAAATGTCATTGCAAATAATGTAAATATTTGCATAACATAAATAATCAATGCTTAACAAATTTATTAGCCAATTTAAAAGGTTTATTCCTCAGCTGCTACATTATTGCTAACATACTCAAAAGAACTTTTCTGTATCTGTAATGATTAATCCACCAGTATTAATAAGGTCTTTAACTGAATTTATTGTTCTAATCCGTGGTTTTACAAAACGTACGAAACATAAATGCACATAATTATTTTTTAAAGAATAAATACCAATATAGATTTAACGTTTAGGATTTTGACAGGTTTCGGAAATATTTGTCGTTTCTTCTTTTTATGACTGGTGATCTAATACATTTGTAAAGCACTGCATACTGTTACAAATAATGTATGTGTCATTTAGGCTTAATAACTGCTTATTAATAAAAACTATGCTTATGTCCAAAGCTGCCTTTGTCACAGTCTTGGGTCTTGGACACAGGGTTTTGAGTTGTTGGCCTGTTGAGTTCTGTTCCTATTACTTTTGTGTCTAGTAATGCTGTATTAATTTATCCACTTCCATGCTACTGACTGTCCCATTTTGGGGGTATACTGTGGTCCAGGTTTACTCTTAGGTACTAGGTACTCTTTAGTATTTATGGAGGCTGTTATCTGAGTCTAGCCCCTTGCACATTATACTTTCCCTTGGGTTCCCCTCGTCAAGTTTCTCTGTTTATTAATCCTTGTTTTACTCTGTCAATTTCTGTCTTGTGCCTCAGTTTGAGTTATTTCCCTGCTTGTGTTTACCTGTGCCTGCATCCACTTCCCCTAATTATCTTGTGTGCATTTATACTCCTGCCCTTCTTTTGGTCTTTGTCAGATTGTCTGTTTGTCACTGTGTGCGCTCAGCCTGCAGTTTATTTTATGGACTAATACAGGGGTACGGTGGTAACAGCAACTGGCTTTAGCCTCTTGGGATCATGCAGATCTCTGCGATGCAATAGCTAGTAAGGTATTTAAGTTTGTACCAAAGAGGTGTGTTGCCACCAGCATAGCTACACTATTTTATGATTGGAAATCTTAACATTTGGTTACAAATTTATAACATTCAGTGGTGTTGATCAAGGGATAGTTGAGATGAACTGTTAGCACTGTGTGAATATCCTCTTGAAAACTGAGGAACTAAGAATCTTCCCATTGAACTTTTTTTTGTGATTTCCTACTTTTTTTTGAGCTAAAAGAGCACACCCAAACACATGAGATATCAATGGAAAGCCCAGGATGTCCTCTATTTGCAAATCAGGACTTAGTGGGGTAGCTTAAACAGGTCAAAAGATATAGACCAAAAACAAATGTCCATTACAGAGGACACACATGAGCAGGCTGGTTCTCAGGAGGACCACAAATAATGTTGAGAAGGAATACTATAGACAGAGCACAGAGGTGGTTATAATAAAGAGAACCAAAGAATATTCTGGAAAAGAAGAGAATATAGGATTGCTGTAAAGCCTTTGCAGCCTAAATGGATCAGTCAGGAGTCAATGGAGCTTTGCATGAGTCACCTCTGAAGGAAACACCAGTGTGAATGAAACCACGACACAGACTCCACGACAAAGAACACCTCACCACCAACTGCTTTACATAAATGCTCTCTCTGTCTCGGTCCAAAAGCCACAGTATATTTAGGACAGCACCTTTACTGTCATTCTCTCTTCTGTTGCTTGTTCACTCACTGTGTCCCCGTACAAGACTCCATTACAATATTAAAAGAGTCATAAAATTCAGAAATGAGACTGCTGTCCTCATGCCATGTCTACATACTGTCTGTTTCATGATGAAGGTCACATTCAGCTCAGTGGCAATTTTCCAGATACAACTGACTGGTGGCCAGGCGCATGGTGTCAGTGGTGGTTCACAAGAGAACAAGGGACATTTGCCCTGCCTTCTTTGGAGGTCTGTTGAGCTGTTGATGATGATGGTAGCAATAAGTGTGCTCTGCATACTTTTGCACAATGCATGCTGTATAAATAAAACAGCACCACCTTCTGGGTTAAACTCCAAATAAAACAAATGGGGAAATTATAAAATATTACCACACCTAATGTGAAACTCCATCTTTCTTCTTAATTTCAGTGTCTCACTAATTCTAGTTAACACCATTTGTATTCACTCAATATTATAAAACAAAACAAAATACTGGTTGGAGGTTTAGCAGGTATTAAGAAGATAAGATCAAACGGAATGCATAAAAAAATTACATTACAAAAAATACTAATTAATGCTATGCTCAGTTAAAATACCAACTCTGGTATGATTGTGATATGATAGAGTTAGACGCTGGGTGTCTTAGTAGACAGTAGGTCTGTTGCACTTGGCAAAAAGCCTGTGGCACTTTGCCAGTGGGCTGGTTGTTCCCGATAGGCACTCTCTCTGCCCTGGAGAAGAATGGAGTTGAATAGTGAACAGACAAGCAGAGCAGGGCAATGCTGCAAGTGGATAGTTAGGATGGTAGCTTGCAGCACTTTCATGTTACT